GTGCGCTGCTGCGGCACCCCGGGCTCGCCCCCCGGAGCCCTCAAGCAGTTCCTGCCTCCGGGAACCACCGGGGCTGCGGCCTCGGCCGCCGAATACGGTTTCCGCAAAGAGAGGGCGGCGCTGGAGCAGTTGCAGGGTCACAGGAACATCGGTAATTGTGGCCGTCTGCCATCTCTTGCCCGGGTCCCGGTCCCGGTCCCGGCATACATGTCCTCAGCGGGCCTCTCTTCCTCCCGGCTTTCGGTCCTTTAGGTGGGAGGAGAGGATTGGGCCCCGATGCTGCAGGTCCCTTTTCCATCCGCCTTTACTTTGCAGCTCTCTAGAGGGGTATGGTGGAGGTGATTGTCACCTAGCAGTGCTCAGGAAAGTCCTGTTTGCTTTGGTTTTCAGCCGATACTCAGTAGCGTAGAGAAACGCCTTCTGCAGCGAAAGGCATTCCTTTGCTAGGTTGTCATGTCCTGAGCGGAAATTTTCGCATCTTTTCCTTCCAATAGAAAGTGGAAAATATTCAAGGGCTGTGGCATCCGTTGATATCAGTGACATCCCCTGACACACTAGCAACTCGAATGATAACATACATAGTGTGGATTTGGGAGAGGGGACTCAGTGTTACCTAGAAGTTACAGGAAGTGTGAATTTAGGAGCACTGCGTTTGCTTCAGTAAGACTTTCATGACTCAGATAATTAATTCACAATGTAAGCTTGTATTATTGGTCATACATCTTGACCATACAGAACCCATATGTAAATCGAAGAAAGACCTTTTTATAATACTTGGTTGGCAGAAGGATTTTCTGATAGTAGTGTTTTTCTTTTGTTAAGCTTGCTAAGTGGAATATCACTGTAACCTTGGCGTTTGGCAGGGAAAATTTTTTGCAAGCTTCAGTACTTGTTGACTCTCTTGCATGATTACATTAAAATTTTATCTACAATGTCTTGATTTTTTTCTTTACACTGTTTAGAGCATGGAATGCTGATTTGAATCAACCAACCTTCAATTTGTTTTTAAGGGTTACTTAATATTACATTTTTTACTTTTTTAAAATATTTTTTCTTGACACCTTAAGTGGATATTCATTAATATTACATTTTTTACTTTTTTAAAATATTTTTTCTTGACACCTTAATTTTATATTCCCCCACCACTGCCATATACTATATTTTATTTAAATAACTCCGATGTCCAAAGATTTTACTCAATGGAAAAATAGTGAAAGTTTCTTGCTATTTAAAATTATTCCTCTCTAGGAGCAGGGGGTAGAGTAGCTCAAAAGACCTGAGTTCAGTTCCCAGTGTTGCTGAAGATTTTGAGGCATACTGCCTTTGTAGTCAAATGGCACTGGGGAAGTGCTTGGGCACAATTTTGTTGGAGTTTAAAAAGAAAAACCCCAGGACAGGCAATCTGTAAATTTTAGCAGCTGCTCTGAGAAGGAGAAAAGAAAATGAAAGAAGCAGCCATGTTCCTTGTTGTAAACCCTGGAAGAGGCCAGCCATGTTTGGTAGGGGTGGGGGTGATGGGACAACCACAAGGCCTAGAGGTTGCTTTGGAGAAATGGTAATTCTGAAAAGCATGATTTGTTTTGTAAGAGACTGGGCCAGGTGCAGGAATTCTGGGGGAAAAATATGTCATGAAAGGACTAATACTCCTCATCTAAGGGGTAGGCCCTTAGATGGTCATTGACCCACCAACTGTATTAACTCTTAAGGGAGGAAATGAAACCATGTCTACCTAGGGGGCAAGTCATTTTTTTTTTTTTTTACTATAACAGTAGCTCTCATACCAGTCTCATGTGCAAGTGTGTGTGCACACATAAATATAAAGCTCTCTTTGTCTAGACTATCCCAAATCTATATGGAAGAGTTAACTGCTTTGGTAGTGAGTTACTCTGAATTTGGTTTTTAAAGTGTTGTCATTTTTTTTTTTTTCTTTTTCTAGTGACTTTATATGGAGTCTTTACCATACACTTCTCTCCAAATGTGCCATCACGCTGTCTGTTGCTTGAACTCCTGGATGTCAGTGTTTCGGAATTGCTCTTATATTCCAGTCACCAGGGTTGCTCCATGTGGATGATACAGCATTGTGCCAGAGATGTTTTGGAGGCCCTTGCTTTTCTTCACCATGAGGGCTATGTCCACGCAGACCTCAAACCTCGAAACATACTGTGGAGTGCTGAGAATGAATGCTTTAAGCTTATTGACTTTGGGCTTAGCTTCAAAGAAGGCAATCAGGTAAGAAATGCCTTTTCTCCTCCATTATGGTTTAAAATGTAATGGTCCAAGCCAAAGACCATTTTTTAATAACAATGGTAGTTTAGAGACTGCAGGGTGCACCTCCAAAATACCAGAGTGCTTCTAAGAGAGAAAGTTAAAAGAATTTCAGGGCTGCCTTATGAAACGGGGACATAAATTTGGGTCAGATAGGAGTTAGTAAGGCTCACGAGAGCTCAGAAATGAATAAACATACTTAGCCTACATGGAAAGCTTGTCAGTGTGTCAGCACTTGGTGAGTGGCTAGGTTATTGCTCCTGTTTCTTTGGTGTCGGGGCATTCATGGCTGATGGCAGATGTGACAGTTCAGGCAAGTCCTCACTTGCCTTGATCTGTCAGATTTTTGCAGAAGGTCTTTATCATCAGTTCATAATAGGTAATTCTTTAAAAAAGAAGACTGTCTTACTGAGCAACAGTATAGAATGTATCCAGCTTTTCTGTGCTAACTGCCCAGTTAAGGAATTGAGGAATTACAGTAGATAAGGACTAAAGTTTATGGCATTGATTTTGTGGGTGACCTACTGTGCCTTTGAAGAGTGCATGGTAGAGAAGGATGGAAAGTGAGACCCTTCTTATGGCTGTAGTGTTTCTTGGTCTTCGTAGGATGTAAAGTATATTCAGACAGACGGTTATCGAGCTCCAGAAGCAGAACTACAGAATTGTTTGGCCCAGGCTGGCCTGCAGAGTGATACAGAGTGTACCTCAGCTGTTGACCTGTGGAGCCTCGGAATCATTTTACTGGAAATGTTCTCAGGCATGAAACTGAAACATACAGTCAGATCTCAGGAATGGAAGGTAAGCTGCATGTGGGTTTAGCTTTGCGGCCACTTTATCAGTCTGGGAATTTGCAATTGCCTCCTCTCTTTCATGCTGTCTGTAGTATCTGTAGTACCTTCAATGCCTCTGCTCATCCCTACAGCCTCAAACTGATGATGTTGCATCCTCACAGCTGTTAATCTAGGTCCTCTGGTGTAGTGAACATTTTCTGAAATGGCCAAAAAAATTCCCTTTGTTAGTTGGGAGTGGTGGCATACACCTTTAATCCCAGCACTCGGGAGGCAGAGGCAGGAGGATCTCTGTGAGTTGGAGGCCATCCGGGTCTACAGAGCGAGTTCTAGGACAGCCTAATAATCTTTTAACAGTGCTCTACAGTTAAAAAGTACAATCATGTTGAATTTTCTGAGCAGTCCTATGAGGTTAGAGTGGGTATTGTTTGCCAGTGGCACAGTTGTATAATATAGCTGTTGGAAGTTTTCCATGGCTCCATAGTACTTTGTATTTATTAGTTTTCCATAGGCTGTTACACATTCTTCACTGTCTAGTTAGCTCATGTGGCTGTGGTACTGTGTCTACTGCTTTTGGTGTTTATGAGGGAGCATGGTTTTAAGTTCCAAACCTCAGACATTGAGATGAACTTTTTGTATGTCACTATGTTAGAAAATAATCGTAATTAGTTTTTCAAACATATTGTGATGCTTTATTAGTATGATATTCCCAGTATCCTTTGGGCTTGAGGATATACTTTGAAGTTATTGTTAAATCTCATTTTAAGCAATAAGTATTTGGAATAATATTTTAATAATAAACATCTAACTGCCTGTTGGTATTGGTACACACTTTTAATCCCAGCACTCTGGAGGCAGAGGCAGGCAGAGAAACCCTGTCTTGAAAAACAAAACAAGGGCTGGAGAGATGACTCAGAGGTTAAGAGCACCGACTGCTCTTCCAGAGGTCCTGAGTTCAATTCCCAGCAACCACATGGTGGTTCACAACCATCTGTTATGAGATCTGGTGTCCTCTTCTGCTGTGCAGATATACATGGAAGCAGAATGTTGTATACATAATAAATAAATAATAAAAAAAAGAAAGCAAAAAAAAAAATACATCGGCCATCTAGGTCATGCATGTTAATCTTTTTTTTTTTTTTTTTTGGGTTTTCAAGACAGGGTTTCTCTGTGTACCAGCCTCTAGCTCCAGGATTGGGCAGTTTCTAATTTTTCATACTTATGATCAAAAAAAAAAAAAAAAAAAAAAAAAAAAAAAAAAAAAGCCGGGCATTGGAGGTAGAGGCAGGTAGATCTCTGTGAGTTCGAGACCAGCCTGGCCTACAAATCCACAGAGAAATCTACAATTCCAGGACAGCCTCCAAAGCCACAGAGAAACCCTGTCTCGAAAAACCAAAGAAAAAAAAAAGAAAAAAGAAAAACAAAACAAAATCTAGCATACAGTAGGTGACCATTATAAGATAGTTTCATTTGTGCTAAGTTCTAGTCACTGATTTCTGGTTTAGTGATTCTTGAAAGGAATACTGTCTAGTGGGATTGTCTTATGTTTATTTTTGGCCCCAAAAATGCTGCTATGGGCATAAAACCAGTATCATTTTTTTTCTACTAGTGATATTTCCAAATAGCTAAGTGTTCTGTAGTGTTAATCTGAATATGGATCAATCATCTAAATTAGCTTCGACTGTGTTTCACCCTTTGTCCTATATCTGCTTGACCCACAGCACATCAGAAATATATCACACTCAAATTTGTGTGAGTATGGAGGCCTGGCATATAATGGAATTTCAAATGTGTCTGTCTAGGTAAAGTGTCATAGCCTGTCTTAGCACCTTCTACAGAGGCAAAGTTGCCAAGTTGTTATGACCACAGACTCTGACATCCAACTATGTCTTACTTTCACCTCCTACTAAGTTATTTGGGTTCATTAAACTATTCACTTTCCTGTAATATAAGAAGAGTAACAACGTATTGTCTTATCAGAGTACTAAAGCTAAAAAAGAAATTTTGCATAGTTTTTCAGCATAATGTGTGGTCCATGGTAAGTAACCAGCAGATTCCAGTTATGTTGGGTGTCTGATCATTTTAGTTATTTATGCAGTTCTGCATTTTGAGTTAGTATAGTACTTGCTGCATATTGTTAGTTACATCTTTGTAACTAGGGGAAATATTTATTTTGGGTAACAGTTTTAGAGGTATTAGTCCTTGTGTCAGGGAGGGTGTGGCAGAGCAGTTTGCATTTTGGTGGCTAGGAAGCAGAAAGGGGCATTCTGGGGCTTGTTTGGCTTCCTCTCTTTTCCCAAGCCTGTGTGATGGTGCCACTTTCATGCTGTGTAGGCTTTCTTAATCTCCGGACATGTGCTAGTGTGCAAACCCAAGAGGTGTGTACCTTAACAGTGTCTTCAGTGATTCTAAATTGACAGTGAAGATTAATCATCACAGTACTCTAGGACTAAATGCTAGCTAGCACCTACAAATGGGATGTGGATAATGTGGCAAAGGCAGTGCTCTTATACTTCCTCCTTTTTCTCAGTGATGGCTTCTTTCACCTGAATACCAACAAAGACCCATCGATAGGCACTGTGACCCACCTATTACATTCATTCACAAGATTGTATCTCGGTGATTTCTTGAGTTTTACACGTTCATTTTGGAGCTGCTCATAGTGCCAGGTATTGGATTAGTGCCTCTAGAAATTCACTATACTGCAGTCTTCTCCAATAAGATTGTAAGTTCTCCAATAAGATTGTAAGTAATAGTTATCACATGTTACTCAAGGAATAGTGCCACATGGCTACTGCTCAATAAATGCAAGCTGATCTGAATAACCTAAGGAAGACTTTTCTCTCTCTCTCAGGCAAACAGTTCTGCTATTATTGATCATATATTTGCCAGTAAAGCAGTGGTGAATGCCGCAATTCCAGCCTATCACCTCAGAGACCTTATCAAAAGGTATGTTAGACATAGTTTAACTTGCTTTGCAGACCTTTACCAACTAAAGTGTTTTTTTTTTTTTTGAATTTATATTACTGTTACTGATTTGCCTATTTATGCAGATAGAACTCCCTTAGAGATAGGAATTTTACCCAGGTGAGGTGTGGTATGCCTTTAATCCCAGCACTCCAGGGCAGTGGCAGGAGGATCTCTGTGAGTTCAAGGCCAATCTGGTCTACAAAGAAAGTTCCAGGCCAGACAGAGCTACATAGTGAGACCTTGTCTCAGACAAAACAGAACAATTAAGATACCCTTTGTAGCCCGGCGTTGGTGGCGCATGCCTTTAATCCCAGCACTCGGGAGGCAGAGGCAGGCAGATCTCTGTGAGTTCGTGGCCAGCCTGGTCTCCAGAGTGTGTGCCAGGTTTTCGAGAAACCCTGTCTGGAAAAACCAAAAAAAAAGCAAAGCAAAGAAAAAAGATATCCTTTCTAGTTACATAAGTGTCATTTTTCTGCTGTTTTTATGTAATGTTAAAGGAGAGCCAGTCTAGAGGATGCACACCTGTAATCCTGATGTTTGGGAGGCTGAGGGTTGAGGCAGAGAGTTGTAGCTTGAGGCTGTCTTGAGTTACTCATGAGACATTGTCTTAAAGCAACAAACAAGAGGGGTCCTTTGATCTGACTCTTCTTCCTTGCCCTCCCTCCCCCAGATAAATCTTTCTTTCCCTGTCTGTCATCCTATCTTCCTCATTTTGATCATTTGGTTTCTTTTCCCAATATTTTGTCTCACTGGGATTTTCCATGAAGGTGTCTTGGCTGGTTATTTTAGCAAGTCTTAGTTTCTGGGTTACTCCAGCTCTTAGGATTTCCCAGAGGCTCGCTTGTATTTAGCTGGTGTAAGTGCAGCAGTCCATTGTAGTTTCATCTGTTTTAAAATTGCCTTACTGTACTTCCCAGTGAGTATCTGTTTGGCTTTCTGATTTTTTTTTCTGCCTCATTTTCTTTTGTTTATTATCTATACACTTGTTTATTCTCTGCTTTCTTATGAATACTAGTATTACTAGTATTGATAGTCTTTTTCTGGTATTGCCTGTAGATTTTTACATAAAATTGTTTAAGATTAGGGGAATTTGGCAAGATTCAGTTATCCTCCTACTATCTTCTGGTTTTTGTTTTGTTTTGTTTTGTGTGCTACCATAAACATTTGTCTAGCCCCCACCCCCATTTTGCTGTAACATATACATCACTTTCTTATGTTTCATTTATTAGTTAGAAACATTAAATCATAGCATGATGCTATGTCAGAAATGTCTCATGGTTTATTGCCCTGTTGCTCAGGTGGCCTTTCTGTTCTCCACTGGGGAATGATTCAGTAATCCATGATAATAGAGGTAGTGCTGAGGTGAACACTGAGCCTTTTTTTCTGATAGTTTCACTTTCCGAAGATCTGGCAGAGCTAGGCAGTGGTGTCGCACGCCCTTAATCTCTGTGAGTTCTAGACCAGCCTGGTCTACAAGAGCTAGTTCTAGGACAGCCTCCAAAGCCAGAGAGAAACCATGTCTCTAAAAACAAACAAAAACCAACAACAACAACAACAAAAAAGGTCTTTCAGTAACCATAATGATGTTGTTGTATTTTAGCATGCTTCATGATGACCCAAGCAGAAGGATCCCTGCTGAGATGGCATTGTGCAGCCCATTCTTTAGCATTCCTTTTGGTAAGTTAGTTGTGTCTGTCATTATTTCTCCTCCCTGGTCATTTGGCAATTGTCTGTATATATTCTCAGGCTCCTTATTTGGTCAGCTCATCAGTTTTATTGGGTTTAACCATATTGTTGTGAACTTTCTCAGCCCCTCATATTGAAGATCTGGTGATGCTTCCCACGCCAGTGCTTAGACTCCTCAATGTACTGGATGACGATTACCTTGAAAATGAGGATGAATATGAAGGTTAGTGCTTCCCATGTTATACTGTAGTGTGTCTTTCTTACATACAGACCCTGACCAATGTCTGTGTGATACACGTTTTATTCACAAGATTCTTCTAGCTTTTTCTAAACACAAAAAGACCCTTGAACTCTGATGTCTAAAATATTTTTGCTTTTTGAGTCATAAAGTCATTCAGACTATCACATTTCATTTTACGAAATTAATAGAGATTTACACATAAGATTCTGTCTCTGATCTGTCTTTTCTCTCCCTTCTCTGTGCTGTCATTTCTGCTCTCTCCCTCCCCCTCCCCCTCCCTCCCTTCCCCCCTCCCTCCCTTTTGTTTTTAACAGCCTTTTCATTCAGACACATTTACTGTGTTGCATGGGAGTATTTCTTGGTTTTAATGCAAGAGGACATATGCAAATGAGGACAGAGAAAAGGGGTGCTCATCCTAGCTTGAGTGATCAGGCAGTGAGGGCTTTCACGACATTGCTAATTATCTAAAAGCTGAGTGGGTAGGAAGAAATAACATCAAATAGAAAGTGTGCCATGTTTAGAGAACAGCAGCTTGTCACGATTGTATATTAACTTATTTGTTGGAAAACAGTTAAAGTTGCAGCAGTAGCCAGTGTGCACATACCTAACAGGCTTGATTACTGTGATTAAGAATTGGATATTAGCCGGGCGTTGGTGGCACACGCCTTTAATCCCAACACTCGGGAGGCAGAGGCAAGTGGATCTCTGTGAGTTCGAGGCCAGCCTGGTCTCCAGAGTGAGTGCCAGGATAGGTTCCAAAGCTACACAGAGAAACCCTGTCTCGAAAAACCAAAAAAAAAAAAAAGAATTGGATATTGTTCATGAGCTAGTTACACTGGAATGTAGCACCCTTGAAAGAATGCATAGTAGACACCCAGTAAACATTTATGGTAGAAGGGACAGAATGACATCAGTTCAAACCAAATTGCTATGTCTTTGTTGCTGGGCACATAAACAGCAAAAACTTTGGGGAATAGGAAATCAAAATTTTGGTTACACTGCATGAAAGAGTTTGTATTAGACCTCTAAGAAAGACAACCTGATAATTCTAACAGCATTGCAAGTTTATGTTAGTTTTGACCTAGCAATTTTGTTGTTGTTGTTTTGGTTTTGTTTTGTTTTTGTTTTTCGAGCAGGGTTTCTCTGTGGCTTTGGAGGCTGTCCTGGAACTAGCTCTTGTAGACCAGGCTGGTCTCAACTCACAGAGACCCCCCTGCCTCTGCCTCCCAAGTGCTGAATTAAAGGCATGCGCCATCACCACCCAGCACAATGTCATTTCTAGAATATCAGCTGTGAGAACTAATGAAGTTAAATGAATTGTAAATAGTAATGTTTATAATAAAAAAAGTTTTGAAATAGTTAAGTAGTCATTAGTTAGGAGACATTGAGTAATTTTTTGAATATAGTAAACTGTCCAAAAGTATACAGCCATAAAAGCAAGTGAGAAGATTTCATTTGATAATATGGAAAACTGTACAGAGAGATTGATTATCAGTCACATGGCAGCGCACAATGGTCATGAACTCCAGTTGCAGAGGACCCAGTGCCCTCTTGTGGCCTCTGGGCCCTGCAGTCACATGTTGCACAGGCAAAACACATAAACATAAAATAAATAAATTTTATTTTCTTTAAATATAGAAAACCATGAAGATATATACTAAAGAAATTTTAAAGTTGAAGTTCTCGCTTAAAATACATAAAATTGTATTTGCTTGTGTATGCTCTGTCAGGTTACAGCAGTAACTTTGTAGTGCTGGTTGACTTCAAGAGAGAAACAGAATGACGGTGGGAAATTTTTTTTTAATTTCTAATTAATGTATTTAAAACATTAGATGTAGGCTACTAAGAAATTGTTAATGTGTTGAATTTATGTTCTTTTTTTTTTTTTGAATTTATATTCTTAAGCTTTTTGTTCCTAAGATAAGGAAAATAACATCATTCCTTAGCTGTGTCACTGAATTCTCAAGTAGTAATTACCTGCTGTTGTGTGGTTTTATAACCAGATGTTGTAGAAGATGTAAAAGAAGAGTGTCAGAAATATGGACCAGTGGTTTCTCTGCTTGTTCCAAAGGAAAATCCTGGCAGAGGACAAGTAAGCAAATTGTTTATAATTGCAGAATTATTTGGAAATTATTAAAATTTTATATTAGACGGGTTCTGTGGGGAGGTGTACACAAAATTTTTGATATAGATTATCATTAACTTATTCTTTTTCCTGACTAAAAGTTCTACAGTATAGTTAAATTTTGTAATCATTTAAACTTTGCTTTTAAAAAATGTCCTTTTGAGCCATTGTAAACAGTGACACCAACTGAATTTTGTGTTAATTTTGATTAGGTTCAATCAGAGAACTATTTGGTTCAACTTTGTTCAAATTAAGTACACTTGGAAACCCAGTTGGATTAGGTTTTGATTGCAAGAGATGATTAGGGATCATTTAGAGAAGGAAGCATGCCGAATGTGTGAGCTCTGTCTTAGTTTGACCAGCCTGTGATGGTTCATTCTGCCTTCCTCTGTAAAAACCATGATCACATCATTTTTATTAGAAACTCTCTAATCTAATCACATGGCAAAGAGGATAAGAAAATCCAAATGCTTTGTCTATATTATTTTTACTTCTGGAGAAACAGAATATTGTACCACATTTCCAGTTTCTATCGTACTCACTGTTAATATTCAGACCATATCACTGTTCAGGGAGCTGCCTGCCCTGTAGAGTGTGGACTGTAGCAGCAGCCCTTGGCTCTGCACATTAGCTGCTTTCCCTTCTTACCCCAGTGCCTCTCACTGGAGATGCTCATCAAGACTGGCACAGTCACTTTTGATTATGTCCTCTACCAAATCCTCCTGTTCCAGCATCCTGAGTGCTAGGATCGCAGGCACATGCCACAATGCCTGCGGATTGTAGATAATATCTTATAGCTCATGGGCCATTTGGAAATGCTTTTATTTCCATTTAATGACATATTTTAGAGTTTCAGAATAGCTGACAAGTCACTTTATCTAATTTCCTATTTCTGTGTGTGTGTGTGTGTGTGTGTGTGTGTGTGTGTGTGTGTGTGTGTGCGCGTGCGTGCAATGCGCGCGTGCACATGTGGAGGCCCAAAGCCGGTGTTGAGAATCATTCCCTATCTCATTTTCTCTCTCTATTAGTGAGGCAGGGTCTCTCAGTTAAACTCAGAGCTTGCCAGTATAGCTAGTCTTGTTGGGATTGCTTATTCTGGGGATTCCCTGTCTCTCTGCTTTCTTAAGCTGGAATTCAGACAAGCCAACATGCCTACCTGCTGTTTTTCATGGGTTCTTGGGATCCAAACTCAGTCCTTACCACTGTAGGGCGGCATGTTTTATCACTGGATAATCTTTACTTTGTCTTCAAAAACAGTGCATAACTTAGACATAGTTATATGGAAGGACCAAAATTAGCACCACCTCTCCATTTTCCAATATATATAAAAACTCAGAAAACTCCATCAGAGGTCCAAATTCCGTAGGTCGTATGTTATACATCATGCATAACAGAATAGTTGCATGAGATAGAATGACTAGTCATAGGTCACATAGGGCTTTGTATATTAATGAAGGAATATTCCATAAAAAATTGAATACTAGGGGTATATGGCACAGATAGGAAAGGACTTGCTATCTGAGCATGAAGACCCATTTAAACCACTGGTGTCAGTGTAGAAAGCCAAGTGTGCTGTCATGTACCTGCAATCCCAGCACTGAACTGGAAACAGGAAAAACCCTGGGGCTTTTTGGTCCTCCATTCTAGCTAGTTGGTGAGCTCTGGTTCATTGAAAAGTCCTGTCTTTAAAAATAAGGTGGGAAAGGGGCTGGAAAAGTGGCTCAGAGGTTAAGAGCACTGGCTGCTCTTCCGGAGGATCCAGATTCAGTTCCCAGCACCCACATGACGTCTCACAACTGTCTGCAACTCCAGTTCCAGGGGGATCAACACGCTCACAGAAACACAACAACAATGTACAACAGATTAAAAAAAAAAAAAAGTAAATCATTAAAAAAAAAATGGGGAAAAAAAAGTGATTGAGGAAGATACCTTCTTCAACCTCTGGCCTGCACCTGCACGTATGTCTGTACACACAGACAGACACATATACACATCCATGCACATGGATCTCTTTTAGGAATTTTTCTTTTATACTCCATAGAAATGAATTTGGCTTTGTTTTTTTTTTTCCAAATGAGAGAAGGGTTCCTGTGAAAACAGAGGTGAAAACTAGGAATGTGCCTGAATTTGTGGGTAGATTAATCTGAGGAAAATACAAAAGAATGTGTATGGAAGAGTTAGGCATGGTGGCACATGGTTGCCATCCCAGCATTTAAGAGGCAGAAGCAGAAAGTGAATTGAAGGACTTCTTGCTACATAGCACGTTTAGAGCAGCTTGGGTGACTTGGATCCTGTCTGATACAAACTGAAAGGTGAGGATCTAGTGTTGATTTTGTTAGGATCCATTGTCACATTGCCTTCAAAGGTCTCTGAACGTTAGAGCTCAGGGGGATTCTTGATATAATGAATAAGGGACACAGTGAATAGAGCTGTTTTTTGTGTTTTTTTTTTTTTTTTTTTTTTTTTTGATATGTAGGATAACTGAGAACAAGTCATTCCAAATCATTCCCTTCCCCTGCTCTCTTGCTTTAGGACAGCAAAGAGAACTTACTTGACTCTATGTCCCAATCTCTATCTTTGGGAAGAAGTCAGATGCTCTGGGAAAGGAAATCACTGGTTTTGAGCTTGTTTATTATAGTTTTGGTCTGTAGTTTGTACAACTATTTTAATAGGCATAGTTCCTACTAGCTTTGTTCAGGTATTTCTCCAAGAGTAGCTTTCTTTGTGGTAGTGTTGGAGTTTCTCTCTGGGCTCTCCATCCTCACCTGGCTGTGTCTACTCATCACTTGGCGCTCATCACTACTCATCACTCTGTGAGTTTCACTCAAATGTGTATGCTCTTTTGCCTAATTTGTCTTTGATAGCTCTTAAGAATTTGATGAATTGAGCTGAGTTCTAAGGAAGTGTTTAAACCTGCTACTACAAAGTGTGCTCAGTGGATTATCCGCATTGCCATTGCAACTTAAGAAATGTGACAAAGCAGACACAAGCAGGTAGCATGACTTGGGGTAGACGGTTTTGTGGGTAGGCACTTGTGAGCAGGCTAGATGGCCTACATTCAATTGCAGGATCCCACAAGGAGAGAATGGACTCCTGAGAGTTATCCTCTGACTTACGTACTTACACACACACACACACACACACACACACACACAGAGAGAGAGAGAATTAATTTCTAAAAGAATTATAGACACTGAAGCTGTACTTTGGACTGATGGAAGCAAAATCTGTGTTTTAACAAAATCCCCAAGTGATACAGTCATGTCATTTAATAACAGGAAATAGTGTGAGAAATATATCTCTGTGATTTTGTTGTGCAAACTGATACCCAGCACACTTATGCTTGCTTACACAATAAAGCCAACAAAACACCTAGACTTAATGATGTAGTCTGTTGTTGCTGAGCTACAAACCTGGGATATTACTCTGCTGAATTCTGTAGGCGGCTGTGATACACAGGTAAAAACTGATACAAATTCCAGAAAGGTCCAGCAAAATACCAGGCAATATGAGTTTCAACTCGGTTATAATCTTAGGGGACCCATGTCTCATATGGTCTTTCATTGACGTTGTTATATGGCATGTGACTGGGTATACATTAAAGTTGGTAAAGCACTGATCTAAATCTAAAATCACTGTGGTGAAATGATGTTGTCTTCTCTAACCTCCTCCAGGTCTTTGTTGAGTACGCAAATGCTGGTGATTCCAAAGCTGCTCAGAAATTGCTGACTGGGAGGATGTTTGACGGAAAGTTTGTTGTGGCTACATTCTACCCGCTGAGTGCCTACAAGAGGGGATACCTGTATCAAACCTTGCTTTAATCAGTAACCTAAGGACTATTTCCCGTTTCTCCTCTTCCATTTCTTGGATTACTATATTCCACAGCTGAACGCAGGAGCACCCCTTTACCCATTTGAAAGGGTACCTTGTACATTTATTTAATCCTACTAATGTGCAGCCATTGCCCAAACAGTGACTGCATTGCAAACATTGGCACTGAGTAGGACAAGACCTCTCAGCTATACATTGAGGGGGTTAGAGCACCCATGTGGGCACCCTTCGTTTGTGCAGTAGGGCAGGTGCTGTTCTTTAGTATGTAACCTAAAAAGATGTCATTTCATGTGGTGATGAAGCAAAGATGAGTAATTTGTCATAGTGAATTTTATTAACAAGTTTGTTAAGGTTGGTGACATCACAGATTATTTGTTTGTATTGTCAGGTGTATCTCATTGTTATTCTAGCTGGCACTGGATGCTCTAATAATGTTAAGTCATTGTCAAGCAGCAGTTACCAACCATGTTCTTAACAATGAGTTGTGAATTTTTCTAAGGGAGTACTGTAGGACTTAATATTCCTCTGAAGAAACTGCAGTGAGCCTATCAACATTTTTAAAATTACTATTAGGCTTTTAAAATAGAAAGCTGATGCTTGATCTTGCACAATTTTTATGTCTAGTATGTATGCTTGAGTGGGTGTGTGGGTGTGAAAGAATAGAGAAATTTGAGTCAGTGTACTTTATAGTGTGAGTCTTGTGAGCTAATACAGTCTATAACCATTTCTTCCTACCTGTTTCACACTTGTGAAACTTGAAATATAGGTTTCTTGAAAGTTGGTCTGACTGATAGAATGTAAATGACAAAACAGTTCATTCCTGTAAAGTGCAGAACAAACTGGAGTCTAGACCAGGGTTACATTGAACTCTTCAAAGTGACTGGAACAAAAAAGGTTTTTAGTACATGTCAATTATCCCATTCTTTGGTCTACTCTAGACCCGAGAGTGACTCATCTGTTTTGTACTGAACCTCTTGTGATAATTGTAAAATTTCTCCAGATGTGATTTTTTTTTTCTGCTAAAATGGAAAATTGAAGTGGATCAGAAAAACAGTTACAGTGAAGGGAAAAGAGAAAAGTGTAAAGAAGCTAGCTAATCATGGATCCTTTGGTCCTCCCTGTGTCCTCCCTGCTGCCCGGCCACCCTCACCTCATTTCCCAGAGCTCTGCCTCTGTCTGCAGCTGGAGGGCAGGGTCCCAGTCACTGGCTGTAAGGGAGTAAAGGAAGGTTGAGGTGTTAGGAGGTGGAAGTAGAAGCTCCACAGCAACCGAATGTGCCCTTGATCAGAGGGCACAGGTGACTGTGGCTTGAGGATTGTGAGCATGGATTCTTCTTTCTGTAGTAGATGCCTGGAGAGCTGTGAACTTAGGGAACCTTTATAAAGCACTGACTGTACAGGACAACCCACAACGTGTACACCAGTTAAGAATTGTTTTCCTGTTTCCTTACCTAAATGAAAGTTTTATTTATTTATTTTTCCTTAGGGAAGAGTGTTTTGTTTCTTTCCCTCATGGCATCCTGCTTATATAGTTTTCTCATGTCCATGCCATACAAGCTCCTGAAAGCTCCATTAAAATTTGCATTTTAGTGGATGAATTATTTTACCCTGTTCAAACATACACTGTCCAACATTTGTTAGTAAAATCAAATTATTCAGAGCTCCCTCTTTTGAAGTTAAACTTGTCATAAGGGGATTGTCTGATGAATTATCTAGTGGTCTTATGTCATGGTCCCTGATGTGTTCCTTAGAAAGAAGGATTTTTCCGGGATTGATTGGGTGACTGGGTTCCAAGTCAAAATTGAAGAGCATAGAATCAGTACTGTGAAGTCCTAAGCTTTCCTAAAACATAAATATTTATACCAGGAGCTGTTTCTTTGGTCACAGGGTACAGTGAATTCTTCTGAAGGGCAAGTATGGTCAGCACATATCCCCCCCCTTCATAAAAAGATCCTTGCAAATAAACTGCAGATGGGCTTCCGAGCTTTGTCGTGCAGTGTGCTGCTAACATTTCTGCACTTACAGCAGTCTGTGATCCTCGTTATTGCAAATGTAGTCATAAATATGTGTAGCATTTGACACTGTAGACTTATTACAGAAGATCATTTTAAGGGAGCTAAGGAAGTAGATGATGAGCCCAAATAATTACATTGAATTAAATATTTTATATTGACGCCACAGAATTGAAAACAAAATATAGCCTACTATGATTTAAAGCATTGTTTGATAGCTCTTAACCCATTTGCCAAAGAGGACAGCTGTAGATTCTCCCTCTGATACTATGAGGACTTTCATTTTAATATCTTTCTTAAACTGGGACCAAATATTATAAAAGATGCAATTTTCACAATAAATATATGCATAGAAATTTTAATTCTTTGGAGTTATTAGAAACCTAGAATTCCCTTATTAAGAGGCAAGGCAAAGAGGTGAAGGTTCATGTTACTTAGCCCCTGTCTCTGGGGGCAAGTTTTATCTCAGGTAGTTTTACTTTCCCTATATTAATATTTGTGCTTCCTTCCCTCTTGCCTTCCCACTTCCTTCTTTATTCTTCCATGGTACTACTCTCCTGTGGCACATATTGTCCTAGATAAGGCATAGGAAGCAGTTGCTCCCTAGGAAATTTTGGGTTCTTTAGAAGTATTTGGAGGAGGTGGCTAGTAGCCATGATCAAAACTATAATAGTGTATTTAGAAGGGAATAGAGTTGGGCCCGTCAGTAAGGTGTCTATTATGACTGGATGCCCTCCTTCCTTTGTGGCCGTTGGCACAGTGGCTCTCTTTGGGAAATAGCCCTTTCTGTTGTCTTCTTGAGCTAAATAATGGCTGCTTTTAGAATCCAATGACTAACATGGTTTTGCTCATCTGTCTGTGTGTTCATTGAGAGAAGTGTGGCCTTCTCTTTCAGTTGTAGCTGCTAAGGGGTGTTGAGATGGTTACCCTGCCACCAACCATGCTGCCACACAGAGAGGTGCGGAAGAGTTGCAGGTGTAAGGCTTCTTTTTCTGTCTTACTACACTGGACTTTCCCTCAAGTGAGGGCATCAGTTAGGGAAGAACTTAAAGGCAAAGTTAGAATCTCATCAGAAGCTGTTTCGTGGCTCTTTGGAATTTATTGATCAAAGGCAGCTGGCTGACAGTTTGTCACCATTTTTGGTAGTTCTCACTCTGGCTTACTAGGCCTATTGTACATAGCATTTTATTTTTCAGCAGTTATTGAAAATGATCATCATTGTAACTGATGATAATTAGAACAGCATAGTGGGTGAGGGAATCTCTTAGGGAGACACTTGTAACTGTGTGGTTTACCTAGACTCTCACTCAGAGGGTACGGGCTGGCTATTATATTCAGATTAGTATACAGATAGGAGTACATCGTGACTTTCCATCTTTTAGATGTGTAGCTAGCTCAAGTAATGAGCAAGTGCCTTGTGTTTCCTGGTGAATATTAAACCTCATCTGGGCGAAAGCTCCAGGTGATGACTGCACTGTCGCCTTTTTCTCGGAATAACTTGGACTGAGTCATGTGAATCCAGAATTTCCTTGGCTTACTTAAAACATACATATGTATAAAACTGTTCCTATTTGATTTACCTCAGTATTGCATGTTGACGGAAAGGCCAGTTCTACTTGTAGGCTCTCACTTCTCTGGTTAGGTTCCTTCCTCAGATCTCATTGCTCCAGCTCTCTATCTGTTGTACATTGTGGTCACGTATCGACCTGTGCTTGGTCAGTGCTAGCTCAAAAATTCCTGTTTCTTGAGGTGCTCAGCATTTGCCTTTCTATTGAATAGGGTTTCTTTCCACTTGGTATTACTAGCTTCCTCAAAGAATACATGGATCCTGAGTCTCTGTCATGTGGAGCTCATCTGAGTATGTTTAGATTTTAGATTCTTAATCATGGAGAAGCTTGGGTATTTTAGTGCTTAGAGTGCCCCCCCCAATTGGATTTTGTTCCTTTCTTCACCTGACACCACAGGATGAATCATCTTCTTTTCCTTGCCACCTCACCAAGATGGTGTTCCCTATGTTTAAAGTTGTCTGATGACTAATGCTTAAGACCATGACAAGCAGTTAGCAGGTACTAGATATTTAAGAAGGTAAACAACTTAGACTATTTTTGCTATGACTTTATAGGAGAAATGAGTTGTCAAAGAGATACGTATAATAAGCCAGGGAACGTGTAGGGTAAAGAGATTTTTGGGGACAGGGTTTCATGGTGTCTAGACTGGCCTCCACTCAGGATCACTGTCTCAGCCTCCCAAGGGCTGCTTATTATCACAGGTGTGCACCATCATGCCCAGCTCCTTTAGGAAACTATTTTATAGGTGGTCATAAAGGTAATTTTTCAGGATATAAAACAAACTTAAAAGTTTACACAAATTCTGTTGTCCTGTTAAAAACTATTGATTTTCTATTAGCTCAGCACTTTCCCTGTTTTTGTGCTGCTTATAGGAATGGTTGCTTTAAATTTGCTGTATTTGTGCCTTTCTGAGAGTCATAATCATGACAGTTGTGTTTCTTGGCACTATTCTAAATGCTGGCGTCCTGGGATCCTCTCTAAACTGGGTAGCTGTCACAACAATGTGAAGAAAAATTGGTGGGTCTTTTGGAGGTGGTGTGTGTTTTGTGAACCGAGTTCCTAGTGCTTTAATGAAAAGGCAGCAAGATGTGCTCTTATTTGCCTTTTGTGGCCATTAATTTCTACTTCTCTGTATAATGAAAGCAAGTTACATTCTGAGAAGAAAACTGGAATTGTTTGCTCTTTTGTTTGTTTCTTACTGAGAAACTTGTGTAAAGAGTAGGCCACTACCACCTTCAGCCACTGATTATCAGTGAGCGAATCTATAGTCATTCTTTAAAATCCTCCATTGGAGGGCTGAAGAGATGGCTCGGGGGGGTTAAGAGTACTGGCTGCTCTTCTAGAGGACCTGGGTTCGGTTCCCAGCATCCACATGGTAGCTCACAGCTTCAGATCCAGGGAATCCAACACCCTCCCCTAGACAACCGTATAGGCAAAAACAGCAGTGCACATAAAATAAAGATAAATAAAATCTGTGGATGGAATCACTTCCCCCTTTCTCTGTCAGCTCCTCAGAATCTCTTCAGTACCTTGAATTACCTTTATTGTGTTCTTTTATTAGGTATGTCACCAGAGGCTGTCAGAGTTAAGAGTCCTTAATAGGAATAGGGAAAAGGCATTAGTAATCTTCCACACACAGTTCATGGTCTAAAAAATCTCTCCTCATTACCCATAGCATAAAAACATTGCCTTTCTTACACATTCCTTAGGAGATGGTTGTCAGGGTTTATGAGGCCAGATTAAATATCCATATTCAGTTTGTCCTAATTTTTTAAAGTGTTTGAGTTTCAGCCCTTGTGCATTTGGGGTTCACTACTATTCTTGCAAATTGAAGCTCAGAAAAAAACTGGGGGCCAGCCATCTCTGTCTTCCTCTTTTTGCACATGGGGTGGGTGGCATTGTTATGCACTAACTGCAGTTACAGCACCTTGTGAAAAGAAGTGTAAGTAGTGTTTATTATTATAGTAAGAAAAGCCTTTCATCTGCACTTCTGTAATCAGCAGAGTACAAAGCTGTCACATACATCTTTTCCATCTGCATTTACTTTTCATTCTTAGTTATTTTTTGAAAATCTTAAAATACTTTAACATTCCTTAAATCTCCTTTAAGTAGTTCACATCTGGGGTAGAAGGCTTTTTTTTCCCATCCTGAAAAGGGCTCTGTCTTTTCCATCTTTTTTTGTCACTCTTAGACATCCATTTATGATCTATACATTTTAATGGTTTCTGGTCTCGAGACTATGTCAGCACTGGAGTGATCGGTTGTGAATGTGAAAACCTACTGTTTTCCCTTGCAAACATGGAATTACTGTTTTGGGCATAGGAGGTCTGGTTTAAAAAAAAAACAAACAAAACAAAACCATGAAAGATCACTTAAACCAAAGCCAGTTCTAAGGAGTGTTCACTCCTGTTGGTTTACCTTCTCAGAGCGACAGGAAAATTACAGTGCGCAGTGAGTTGTTGTCTGTGACATTTCTACCGGTATTTCAGTAATGTGTTGGTCTTGGCATTTCTTGATGCTATGATTCTGTTTTGTTTTGTTTTTTTTTTCTTGTGATGTTTTACTGCTTATGAGTGGTTGGGCTTTTGTTGTTGTTTTGTTTTAATTAATTGGGACTATACATGTAGATAGATGTGCTTTAGTACCAAGATGCCCTTTTTCCAAATCCCCAAATCTCTGATTTCCACACCACTCCTTCACACGTCTGCTTTCTTGCTGATAGCAGAGGACTTTATCCCCACCTCCCTAGAAAGTGTGAGCACTGTGTTTCAGCGAGCTGCCTTGTGGGCTTTTGCTGAAAACTTCTCTGTAAACACAATTGCCTTGTTCAGTTTTGTTGTAAACTGACTCACCATGCGATGCACTGTCGATAGCTTCCTGATATGTGGTGGATAAGAGTGATAAAATAAAGCTTACAAAGAAAAGAAATGCTCTGTTATTTCTTTTTCTTTTTAGTAAGATAGCATTTCATGTAGGTCAGCCTGCCTTCAATTCACTATGCAGCTGAGGCTGGCCTGGAGTTTGTGATCCTCCTGCCTCTACCTCTCAAATCCTGGGATTACAGGTATACATCACTGCCCTAATTCTATTTCATAGGTTTCCTCCTCCTCTCCTCACCTCCTTGGCTTTTTAAGACAGGGTTTCTCTGTATAAAAGCCCTGGCTGTAATGGAACTCACTCTGTAAACCAGAGATCTGCCTGCCTCTGCCTCCTGCATGCTGGGATTAAAGGAGTACTCCAACACTGCCCAGTTTATTTCATAGGTTTTTGACAGTAATTTTTTCCAGTATGCATGAGACCCTAGGTTTAATCTATTAAAATTTTCTGGGTCTAGACAGATGGTTCAGTAGTTAGCATTTGCTATTCCCACTTGGACCCAGATGTGGTTCCTGGCACCCACACAACAGCTCATAATTGTTTATAACTCCAGTTCCACAGTGAGTGCTGCCCCCTTCTGGCCTCTGTAGGCAGCAGAAACGTGCATGTGTGTGTGTGTGTGTGTGTGTGTGTGTGTGTGTGTGTGTATAGTATAGTATAGTATAGTATAGTATAGTATATATGTACACACACATTTTCTCAGGCACACACACACAAGATGGAGTAAATAACTACTTTTCCTGGAAATCATAATGGAGGGGCCCCCATGAACTGTTCTTCGATACATGTATATACGCAGGCATGTGCATGTATGCCACTAAATAAATACACAAAAGAAAAACCTATATATTTAATTTTGGTAAGTACTGAACCAAATTGACAGTGCTAAAATGTAATTTTTAATTTTGGAAAAATGTTCATGGTATTGCAGAAATAACATGGTTCAATGAGATCCACAGTTGGGAGATCTGCATGCTATTCTGTGTTTTATCAGATTGGATTTCTTTAATCAAGTGACCTTATTTTGACAGTAGATGTTTGAGGAGTGAATGAAATGGCATGATAGCAATAATAAACAACCATTTGTGAGAGCCTATCAGTTAGGTGGCAGACACTATTTTCCAGAGTTCAGATCATATGTTCTGAGATTCAAAGTCTGAGCCAATTTCCTATAGTTATGGATACTGGTACCTTAAAAAAAGAAAAAGCAAACAAACAAAAAAAAAGCACAGTAATCTGAATGATAAATTCCAGGGAAATGTAGGAGGGACATCTTAAGGGACTACAAGAACTCAGACTAGAGATTTTGTGTGGACAGAAGTTTCTGTCCTCCTGGGTCCCGAAGCCCTTTAGTCCCAAATAAAAACAGAGGGTTATATTAATTATAAACTGTTTGGCCTATTGCTCAGGCTTCTTATTGGTTAACTCTCTCTTAATTATTAACCCATTTCTATTAATCTGTGTATCTCCAAATGGTCTTGGCTTACCAGTGATGCCCAGGCTTCTTGGCATCTCTCTGACTTTGCCTGTTACCTTTCTCTAATAGACCACACAGTAGGACCAGTTCAGAGAGCTTTCTAGAATATTGTTGCCCTGCTTTAGGGTACTGACTAGGACTGTGTGAGATCTGAGACTGCATTTCTAACATGCTCACAGGTGTAGCTGCTGCTACAACTGCTAAACTCTTGTTCTCAGTCTAGCACTGGCTGTAAAACAGAAAAGCAGAAACAGTACCAATTCATAAGCTTCCTAGGACCCCCTGACTTTTGAGACTACAATAACAACCATTCCAACAGGGCTTTTGTTTTGTTTTAAATGCAGTGTCTCCACTCCATTTAACCTTCTGAGGCATGTTCTAACTCTGAATGCAGTACTCATTCCATTCTATGGTTGAAGTGGGTTCACATGAGCTTCTTAGGGTCTGCAGTGAGTGTCTAGCCTCTCACGTTGTGCTTGCTTTTCCTTCTTGTACTTGTGTGGCATGCATGTGTGTGTGTGGGTGGATGCAGAGGAGGTATCCATGTGTGCACACATGTGCCAAGGCCTAAGGTTGATGGAAGGACTCACTCTCTTTCAGTTTTCCAAGACAGGGTTTCTCTTTGTAGCTTTGGAGTCTGTCCTGGAGTCTCTCTGGAGACCATGCTGGACTCAAACTCACAGAGATCCACCTGCCTCTGCCTCCCCAGTGCTGGGATTAAAGGTGTGCGCCACCACCAGGCCTAGGACTGTTTCCTCTCACTCTTCCACCTTAGTCTTTGAGAAGGGTCTCCCAGTCAATTTCAGAGCTTTCTAATGAATGATCTGGCTAGCCAGTTTGCTCTGGAGATCCCTTGTCTCTGCCTTTCATAGCTGGAATTAACAAGTGAGCTGCCACACCCACCTGTCATTTAATTGGGTTCTGGGGAATCCCAACTCCAGCCCTCTTGCCTACAGCATAAATGCTTTAACCACTGAGCCATCTTCTCAGCTTTCATGCTATGCTCTCAACGCCATTTCCTATGCAAACACTTCAATCCTTTAACCCCTCTTTCTACTGCTTTCAAGGCCCCTGCTGCCAATCTTACATGCTCTGCTTTCCTCTTCACACTGCTGTTTGCCTTCTTTAAAAAAAAAAAAAAAAATTAACGTGTGTGTGGGGGGTGTGGGTGTGGGTGTGGGTGTGTGTGCGCGCGCGCGCATGCGCGCGCGCCACGAGCGCATTTGTATGCATGTCCATAGAAGACACAAGAGGGCATCAAATCCCCTTGAGTTGGAGTACAGGCTGTTTTGAGCTACTTGTAGTTACAGGAACAAGAGCAAGGAGTTCACTTAATCACCAAGTCACCTCTGCAGCTCATTTGCATTTCTTAACACTAAGCCTGACCACTTCCTGCTTTAAAATAAGTTTAAAATGTGGAGCACGCCTTTAGTCCCAGCTTGAGAGGCAGAGGCAGGTGGATCTCAGAGTTTGAGGTCAGCCTGGTCTACAGACCTAGTTCCAGGAAAGCCAGACTACACAGAGAACCAGGAATTTGGGCGTGGGGTGGGGTGGAACCAAAGATTGTTTTTGCCTTCAAGTTAGTGATTTAATCCTCTGAAATTGTTAGTAAGGCTTTTCACAATCTTGCCCTGCCTACCAGTCCAGCCTCAATGCCTGTGTCTTTCCCAGCTTGTACTTCATGCTTCAGCTAATTTGGAACTACTCACATTTCTGCTAATTATGAGTTCATTCCTGTGGTTTAGCTCCTCATCGAAATGCCTTTTAGTTCCTTGTCCCTCACCTTTTGTGGATGATGGAATTCTATTTCTTTTGGGGGGCAGGGCTTTATGTACCCCAGACTGACCACAAACCCACTGAACTCCTGATCCTTATGTTTCCAGAGCAGAAGCACTAGGATTACAGGTGTGCAACTACCATGCTATTGGATCTTTTGCATTCAAATTACCTATGAGCTTTGCAGTGTTCTTAGAACACTGTAAGAAAATAGCTTGAGTGTGTGTGTGTGTGTGTGTGTGTGTGTGTGTGTGTGTGTGTGTGTGGTATACTGGGTATACTGGGCATATGTATGTACATATTTGGGTGCATAATTCATGTGTTTTATGTATGTATGTTTGCATGTATGAGCACACATGTTTGTGGGTATGCTTATGTATGAATGTGTGTTTGCATGTATATAGGCACCTGTGTAAATGCATGTGTGGACGTATCAGGTGTGATCTCCAACACCAGGAAAGGAGAAAGATCACAGGAGGCTGGGAAATTAAAGATGGGAGTAGCCACAGGCAGATGGAATACTTTACTTACTGAAACACAGGTAGATGCTGGCAGGAACCCAGAACACATCAGCACACGCAGACTGCACAGAATTAGACACAGGCCTACAGGCACACAGACAAAGCTTTGGATCTCAAGGCCATATTTAAACAAAATCACACAAAAATAGCCCCCCCCCCCCCCCCCCTGCACGGAGTAGTTATATAACAGATTATGTCACTGATTACCACAGGCTCTCTGGCTATCCAGTGTCAGCCATCATCAGCTGACTCATTGTCCACCCAGATGTCCAGTGTTAGCCCTCTTGGGCTCATTCTGGGTAGTCAAATCAGCACGTGTCTAAACTTTAACTGTCCTTTATGACCTTCTGTTCCCTGTAGTGTGTGTACGCACGCGCGCGCGCGTTTCTACATATGTGAATGTGTTTGCATGTGTGCACTAGAGGGTTTATGTAAGTGTACATGTGATAGTGTTTTGTGTCTACATGTGCATATGTGTGTGGGCAGGTGAAAGCATGTGGTTTCTCTGAGTGTGCCTCTGTATATGTATGTGTATGTGTATGTGCAGTGATTGTGCCATGGGAGTGGCATGCTGAATGAAAATGACATTTATTTCTAAGGCTATGCTTAAAAATATATTTTAGCTGGATAAGGTGGATTATGCCTCTGATCACAGCACTCAGGTAGGAGGCTGAGGTAGGAGCATGGTGAGTTCAAGGCCAGCCTAGGCTGCTTAGTGAGATACTGTCTCAAAAACTAAACCCTTTGTACATGTATGTATTTAAAGGAATATTTGAGTATAAGAGGAAAAAGAACAAATATGATCCAGAGGATTACCGTATTTTGACAAATGTCCTATTCCAGTGATCATTTAATAATAAATTTAAAAGACTTTTACACAAAATTCCAAGACAAATAAAGCTTAGCACATGTTGGACATCATCCCAGACAGAATCTCACCCAGTATGGTTTCTGACATATGGCACAGTGTGACTCAGGCATTCTGGTCCCTATGTGAGCTAAGCTGGGGAATTACTCCCCCTACCTTGAACAGAGCCAATGGCATCATGACATTGCTCACCAGTAGCTAGATTTTCTAAGAGGAAATGGAAACACTGAGTGTGGATGCTTCACACATCTGGAGTAAAAGCCATGTAATGTCATGTCTGGTTGGTATGGGGAGAGTTTCTCTTCATTAATACATTGTTTTAGTTTTACTAGATTAATTGTATTTATTTTATTTAATCATATTTAATAATCATCAGAAGGACAATTCTGTTTTTACCATGATACCCACA